TCCCCTTTTTATATCACAAACGTACACTGTAGACACTAACAAAGCATTAATTGAAGCAGATGTGAGTTTCTTTTCTGTTTCCTTTAAACACTTAGTAACGTGAAAAAGATTCTTCTCTGAATACCAAACATGGGTGCGTACGTATAGATAGTGTGTGTAATTAATTAATATTATTGACATCATATCCATCAACCACGTTACTTAATTAATGAGTGATAAGTGAAAGAAGAGAAAAATGGTAACCAGGCGAGAAAAGCTGTTTCGTTAGAGTATGAAAATGGTGTGGAATATTTCAAAGTTTTTGTTAGAAATTAAAGAGTCGGTGAGGTCATATTTATTATGGAGTCCCACATCGCTCAACTGCGCGCTAATCTGATCTTGCCTCCCAGCCCTAATTATACTTGATCCTACTCCTTAGTCCACCATGCACAACTGGCATTGTCTATTATAACCAATCACCCAGTATGTCATATGTATGTACGTCCCATGTCAGCAACTTAGCGATGAACATATACATACGTATGAAGAAAACCGCCAATGTCTACACATACACATATTATATATATATATATATATATTTTTTTTCATTGTAAATAGAATTTTTTTTGAATAAATTTATATATATATATATCATACGTACTTTAAAAAAAAAAAACAATTTCAATTTTAATTCCGTAGGCCATGTTTGTAACAAATCTAAAAATTAATCGAAATTCACTTATAAATTTAAATTTATTTTAATTAGAAAGTAAAAAAAAATTTAACTAAAATAATAAAAATTCCATTTGTAAATATAAAATTACACGTAAAGTAACACTAATATATTTCAAATTTTATTATATTTATGTAAAAATTAATTTATGTATTACTATTTTCTAGCAAAATATAAAGTAATATATGAATTAATGTATTTATAAGAATTTTATTATTTTAAAATTTTTTAATCAAGGGGTGAATTGATTGGGCCGGATAGTGGGCCGGGCAAGTGAAGATAAGCTGGGTCGTATAAATACTAAGCCATCTAATGAGGCCCAAAAGCCCACTTCTCAATTTCAGTAGACTCTCTTCCCGTGGACATGGCCCGAGGCAAGTACAAAAATTGGAGCTGAAACTAACTACAGTACCAAGTTACAGAAGCTCTCGGTGGTTGGTTTGGCTTGGCCGAGTTAGGGTTCAAGAAATTTTTGAAGGCATTTCTCCCTTTTCGTCGGGTATAAACTGAAGTATCGAAGGAAAGAGAGAAATTTGGGGAGGAAAAATGGAGGGAGCAGAGGAAGGAGTAGAGAGAGTGGTAGATTCAAAGGACTTGCAGCAGCAGAGCAAAGCCCTAGACAAGCTCACAGACCGTGTCGAAGATCGCCAGCTCGATTCCTCCCGTGCCCAATCGGTCCTCTCTCTCTCTCTCTCTCTCTCTCTCTATTTGAATATTTATAAATTAAAGAAGCTCGGGAACAACAGATTATGCAGAAATAGTTTTATTTATGGCGATGAGGATCTAAGAAACTTTTATTATTTTGATTGGTGGAGTTTGTGTTGATTGAATTTGAAC